AACTTGAATTCTGTTCCTTATCTCCACATTTCATTACTATAGTTAACTATTGTGATAATTTCGACACTATGAAAACTATAGTTAACTATAGTAATAACTTTGACACTTCGATTTACTATAATGATAATTTTTAAGACTTTGATTTACAATAGTGATCAGTATGACACTATCGTGATAACAAAGAAAACTTTGAAATACTATAGTGATCACTATGAAAACTGAATTACTATGGTGATAAATATGAAAACTTTAATTTACTTTAGTGATAACTTTTGAAAACTTTGATTTGCTATACTGATAACGATGACACTATAGTGATTACTTTGAAAACTTTGACTTACCATAGTGATGGCTATGATGCTAGAGTGATAACATTAGAAACTTTGATTTACTATAGCGTACTTTACATATAGTTACCGGTAACTATAGTAAACTGGGCGTCATTAAACTAGTCGTCATTTCTTAAGTTCTATGGTCGATACAAGGACCTTGTCAGCGAATACAATTTATCATTAAGTTAAATGCTGACTGGCGTTTTTCATACTAATTGTTAGGCCATTATTTACACACTGAATTGTCGAATTCTTTTTTCTGTTATTTCCCGATCATGACAAGGAGCACACGGCGGGTGTGACCGGTCGGTAGAGGATGCTCACTCCTGCATGGCACCTGATCCCACCTCTGATGTTTTAGAGGTCCGTGTTTGCTCTGCTCCGAAATTTGTATTGTTTAATGGACTTTTGAGCTTGAATACTGTTCGTTATCTCCATACATCTCATTCAATAACGCTATAATACTTAATTTTAGCTTTGGAGAGAGTTTGAATCATATGCCAGCCTCTTACCTTCAAAACATAACTGAAAAAATATATCATTTATCAAAAAGTAATTCAATGCATCAAAGGAATCAAATGTTGAAAAGGATGACACAGACACGATGTTTGAAAAAAAAACCCAACTTGTATGAACTCTTAGAATTGAGAAATGCATTCTTACACATATCTTTTAGATACACGTATCTTGTGTCGGAGCGGAATATTGTCCTCATCTTATACGCCTCCATTCTTTGTTTTTATTTCAACTCCCCCGTTCACATCGTTAAAATTTTCCATATCATAGAGTTTCAATGGTCTACAGAGAATGAAGAGAATTTACCTAATCGTACAGACTTACTTTCAATTTATATAGTCAACATCTAGTTCATAATGGTACATTTTAATGAAGGTGCTTATGCCTTATGACTTCGTATTTGTCTTGACGTTTCTGAAAGAAAGAGAAAATTACAAGCAATTGGAAGATTTTACTTTCTAGAGTTCCATTTACATAAAAAAAGATCAACAGTGGACCCGTTTACATAAAAAAGATCAACAATGGACATTTTGAATTTATGAGTTTTCGCCAAGGTCATGTTTTCACAGGAGATTTTAATTTTTGAGTTAGTAAGATGTCAAGCATTCAGTACAGAAATTGACCGACTCATTAGCTATTGAAACTTGAGTCTTGCATATGCAGTACAGAGGGAATGTTTTCAATATAATGAATTCTCTCCTTATTCTGAGGAGAGTGGATATTACTTCATGTGTCTACAATCCTCCCCATATCAAATACGGTACACAAAATGAATAATATTTTGATGTTTTTTTTTAATAGAAATCTTGTATAACCACACAAAATTTTTTAACTTGAATAATGTATTAATTTTGTATGCAAAATGCTACAAACATATTAGAATCTTCTTAATTGTATATAAATGATTAAAAATGACCAAGGAAGCAACAATCATGCATTCTTAGAATCAATCAGTTCAACAGGAAAATCATTAACCATAGTCCTACATCTAATTCAAATCGTGATCAAATAATAAAAACAATATTCCATATTTTAAATTAAATCACAAAAATCAACACTTCCTTCAGACCGAAATCATATGGACAAAGTGAGTATGATAATTTTAGAATATCAATTTTAACCAATTGGAAAAGCCGATGAATGGAACATTATAAAGTATTCTTTACATCCTGAAATTTTTTTAATGATGGAATTTGAAAGGACTGTTCGGTTTGAAATTGCTTAATGTAAAATTACATTTGATCTTCCATTAACCTTAATGAAAAAAAAAATCAACTCACGACAAGGAAAATGAATTTCAAGTAAAACACAAATTAGATTTATTGACATGTTTAGGTTCTCTGAGTATTGTCTAATAGTCCATCAGTCTAAGTCAGAGTAATTATGTGTTCTATGCTTTTGTAAAAGATATTACACATTTTGTTTAATTGATTCAGGCTGAAAACATCGTTATTATATAAATGTCTCTATATCTACACCCACAGAGTATCCATAGGTCGTATATTATACAGTCAAATAGCATAGCATAATAGTCAAATAGAATATGAAGCCAAATTTGTAAAATGTTGATTAAAAAGCTGTAAAAAACCGATCAAGGTCTAACACTTACAATCGTAGAAAATTGAAATAGATATGATTTAAGCTGTATATATGTAGCATAGAGTCTTCCTGTGCTATTGAGATTTTATGTTGGCTTGATAGAACCATAAATTGCCTATTCGATATACTTGCCTTGTTATTGGACATTTGCAAAATTATTTTGTTAAAAACATTCTGATTGTACACACAAGTACACCAAAGTTGATATTAAAAATATGATTGAGTTTCTGATTGACAATAGCTATGTAGTTTTGGAGATAAGGTCTTCAAACAATCTGTTGGAATTAGAAAAAGACTTTCATGGTACCTAACAATACATCTTTATGATAGACGTGATGGCAATTTTTCAATCGTCAACTTCCCTTACTGATGTAGTAATACACCCTTATCACTTATAGGGTTTTCGTCTTCCAGTTGATTCGATACGCAAGAGCATGCTCTACATATGAACAATTTCTAAAACGAGGCAAGATATTGACAAACAAATTGATGAAACAAGGATATCAACAGTCTTACTCGTAGTCATCGTTTGGCAAGTCTTATGGTCGATACAATGGCCTTGTCAGCAAATTCAATATTTCAATAAGTCAAACGCTGACTGACGCTTTTCATACTAATTGTTAGACCATTATTTATGCACTGAATTGTCGACGGATTTTTCCTTTTTCCCTGATCATGACAAGGAGATAACGACGGAAGTGACCGCTCTGCAGGGGATGCTCACTTCTCCATGGTCCCTGATCTCACATCTGATATTCTTGGAGGCCCGTGTTTGCTCTGCTTCCGATTTGTAATGTTAAATGGGTTTTTGAGCTTGAATACTGTTAGTTATCTCCATATTTCATAAATATAATTTATGCAGTATATATGTAGCATGGAGACTTCCTGGACGAGTGCTATTGAGATTTTATATTGGCTTGATAGAACCATAAAACAGCGATTACCTATTTGATTATTAATAACCATACGTAGAACATGACATTGGCTTTCCTGCATTCACATTGACATGTGGACATAATTAAGGATAGACAAATTATAAAAATGTCTCAGGACGAGAAAATAATTGTCATTTTCAATCAATTCTCTGCTGTAGAAAGTGAAAGAAAATGCGAGTATTTATTGAACCATGCATTGACAGTTGTTCCGTAATTTTAGTATCTGTAGGAATAGGTTCCCGATTATATAATTTGCAAGTCATATTGTTCTAATCGATCCGTCTTGTTGTGGTGGTTGTCTCTCGATAAATCTGAGACGAAAAATTATCGGTCTAGGTGACAAATTACCACAGACCTGATGATTGCAAGACAAAACTTCTATATAGAGAATCAATCTTCACACATTTCCAATTTACTACTTTTGCCGGATGTAGAATATATGTCTTTTGCTAAACACAGGGGAATTCTGGGTATATGTAGCAGACGACGCTGTATGACAGCGATGACTTGTGATTTACTCTCGCCGTCACTAGTCGATAGAGCTGCCAGAAACCTGATACGATCACGTATGTCAGTGACCGAGTTTAAGTGAATTATAGAATGATAGTCTTATCCATTCATTATCGTGTATGGTTTCCTTAACCACTGTTCAGTTGCATTTTTTTCCCGATCAAATATGAAAAGTTTTATTAAAGATATATTATTCCGTAACTTGGATACTTGAAAGCAGGAATAGAGTACCTAATGAAATTGCGTAGATAATCGCCACTCGGGAATCTTTTAAATATGCTTTACTGTACTTGCAATGAGAATCGATAATCTTGTAGATCGATGATCTAAGTAAATATATCCGATTACCCAGTAGACCTCAACTTGCGATGAATCATTTACTTGCAATATGATTTGTGTAACTTTAATTCAACAAGTAGATCACTGATAATTTTTTTGAAACAACTCTCTCTCTCTCTCGCATTTTGAATCAGTTCAAATTTACTTCATGTCTGGCCAATCAGAACACAGCTACTACATGTACCTTACATGTAGCATATAAATCAAGACTACAGGCTTTTTAAAAGATCGGTTAATTATCAAATTCGGCTAATTGTCGTATTTTGGATAATGTTTAGAACTGATTTCAGTTTCATATTGCACCGAATCGGGAAACAAATGGAAGGGCATCAATCCTTTTTTTCTTTTTTTTGGAAAGTGTCTCAAAATAAATACTTGTTTTGCAACTAAAATCCATCTCATTTTTATTCATTTATTTTTTGTAAAGAAAAAAAATAGATTGCAAAATAATATTATAATGTGAAAAGGACAAATGTGAACAGGAAAACCGTTAATATTTCTAATGACTTGTTTATGAAAAGCCACAAAGAGCCGTGAGTTGTTGGTACTACCAAGGGATTTTACGACCCAATTTCGCTTTGTTCTTCTTCAGCAATAAATTCTTTGCTTTTCATTAGAAATTTTCTGTTTTGAATGCAATTGATGAGAGTATTAAAGTGTTTCATACGAATATTTATACAAATTTTCTTGAGAAATATTTTTATAAATTGAAAATAAAAATCTGAGAAAACTGCAATATTAAAGTGAGTCAACTATTAAATTATTTCAGGTTTCCCTGTCCGGTACACAGTTGCCATTGTAACAGCTGGTGTTGCCGTGGTGATTACAGTGATTGTTTACATTACATGGTTGTACTGTAAGCGGAAGCGGAACCGGTTCCAGTGGTATGAGAGCTCGGACGAAGAATACTCACCAAATGCAATACAATCAGGTTCTCGTTTACGAATATCGCAAAGTACGCCAGAACTCAATAAGCATTTTCTTGAAGAAGACGACAAATTCGGTAAGAAAGGTATCTTCAAGTTAACAAACGTCCGACAATCTACGCTTCCTACTGTATCACAGCGCCATGAACTGTTCAAGCGTCAACTATCACATAAATTAGATCTCTCAAATATAGAGTTCCAAGTTCAAAGCGTAAAGCATAAGGAACAGCCTAGTCTTGGAGTTATTAAACCAGAGTTGTATAAGCAAGTGTCGATAGATAGCGTTAAAAGTGAACACTGTGTCTGCGGAAAAATATTTTTTACCCTTGCCTACAACCATGGGTCTGAGAGTCTAGTTGTAAATGTATTAAGGTGCGAAGATCTTCCCGCCAAAGATTTTTCTGGAACGTCTGATCCGTACGTCAAAATTTATCTTCTACCAGACAGAAAACATAAGTGTCAGACAAAAGTCCATCGAAAAACTTTATCCCCAGAATTTAATGAAAAATTTGCCTTTTCAGTTCCTTATAAGGAATTGACATCAAGAGTGTTGCAGTTTAATATTTACGATTTTGATCGTTTTTCCCGCCATGATCTCATCGGAACTGTGGTTGTGAAGGACATTTTGTGCGAAGGAAGCTTAGCAAATGAGACTTTCTTTGTCCGGGATATACTGAGCGCTAATCAGGTAAGATCTATGTAAAGGTAGACACAAAATTGTCACCTGGTGTGTACCCAGATGGTTAAACACTAGAAACTATTTTTATGAGCACGGGACAGAGTGATTACAATTCACTGGAGAGTGGAAGATATTTCTTTAAGATAGTCATAACAAATGTAAAGGTAGTAATTATACACTTTTGTCTCTCTTTATCTCAGTACAATAGTTAAAGGTACTAGCAATTCACAGGGCAACTCAGGAGACGCATCCCGCATCACACACACACACACACACACACACACACACACACACACACAGAATTCATGTCCAGCATAGGCATTTATGCATTTGGTTGAAGCTTCCCCTATCAAAAATCATATTCTGCATGGATCCAAAGAAACACATCTTAGTCATTGAGATATATGATTTTTTTCATTGAAATACTTGCGTACAAAAAAAAAAAAAAAAAAAAAAAAACACAAACAAAAACAAACAAACAAACAAACAAAAAAACACAGAGGCAGGTTTTTTTCCCTGTAAATTGAAAGAAAATAATGTTTCACTTCAACTGATTGTTTTTTCTTAAGGTATAAAAGATTCTAAGATTGCAATTTTTCTAATTCTTTACAGTATACTATATTTGGCTCCTTATTTATTGTTTCCGAAATACCTCTTGTTAAGGACAAATGCAACGTAGTTTTGAACTTTATTTTCTTAATCCCACTATAATTTACAAGTTCCAGATATTGAAAGACCTTTGTGCGATTTTATGATGCCTGGTAATGCTGTACATCTTTTTCGAATCAAATTTCGAGGAAATACCAGCTCAAACAATATAATTTTTCTTAAAAACACACACAAAAGATTTTCATCCTTCAATATTTGTTCAAAACTCCTGAAAATATATGCAAAGTCAAAGAACGTTTGATGGTACATTCATTATAAATTGAGAATATTTTTGAAAATTATCAATGGAAAATGTACATTCTAAAGTACATGTACAAGTGTGTTTGAAAAAGTCAACGACAACTAATTTTAAAATTCCTCGCTATGTCATTATCATATTGATGAACAAGAGAAATATCTTATAAAACAAGGTTATAAATGTCTTTTAATTTCACTGCATTTGTAATGTAATTTCACTCCCCCTCGAAGATTTCATTCAAGGTTTATTCAAGATTTCATTTCAAAGGTGAATTAATTTCTTTAACGGTTCTCAGTTAAATGATATTAAATAACACATAATGTTATTATATCATACTGGTTCATGGGTAAACTTTTATTTCGTTGAAGTTGTAAATTCGTTGTTAAATGGTGCCCATAAAAATCTCGATGATTGAATCTCTACGAAATATAATGATTTCCTATAATTAAAAGTACGCTTGAAATTTGCAGATGTAGCTTTTAAACTTTACTTTTTTGGATAGATAATGCAGAGACTCGATATAAATTGGCTATACGACAGAATATATTTATTTAAAGAATATATATATATATATATATATATATATATATATATATATATATATATATATATATATATATATATATATATATATATATATATATATATATATATATAACAATTTTAATTGATCCATCTTTTACAAGATTACCATCTTTATTTAAGAAAAAGAAAATGAAATGTGCATGGTTGTAACAAAAAGGCAGATGATTTTGGTAACTCAGCTACAAAGTACCGGTACTTTTCAAAATACACATATGGCTATGAGTAAAATTGAAAATTTATTTCTTTAATTAAGGTCACACGCAACGTACCTCATACAGCACCTGAACCATTGGTAATTTTTGAAGATATTCTCAATTTAAAATCTTTAAAAATCAGATGTTCTTAGAAAAAAAGAATCAGAATAAATTACCAGGACATTTGAATAGGTATGAAATGATGAAAAACCTTGTGTTATTCAAAGAAAAATGACCAAAAAACCTAGTTTTCACAAACATTTCCTCAAAAATTGGTTTAGAATAGGTTTAACAGCGTTATTAGGCATTATAGAAGTCATGGAAAAGTCCTTTAATTATTGAAAATCAATTATACAGGGAAGAAGTAAAAAAAAGTTCAAAAGTACGTTGCGTATGTCCTTAAAATTTCCTATCCTTATTATATAAACATTAAAAAGGGATATTTAACACGTTTTATTTATTAAACGAATCAATGTTGGATATTATGGATATAGACAGGATTAGCTTATTTTAAAAATAACTCACAATTTTAAAAAAGAATATCTACAAGAAAAGTATTTATACCTGGGCTTAAGCTTCAGGTTCGATGGTTGTTTATGTGCTAGCTGTTTTAAAATGTATCTGGACTAAAAAAAGAAGGTTAATTAAATTATGGGTAACTTATGCGACTTCTGGCAGAGGAATACTCTTTACGTTTCTGAAGCACGCAATACCAAGGAAAAACGATTTATCTGCTTGATTTCAAACAAGAGTACATTTTGCTATCATGTCATCGTATGAAATTTCATCAAGTTAGACCGACCTTCCCTTTTTACAGAGGTTAAGTGTAATCACACTAGATACGAAAGCAAACTCCAGTTTAACCTCTTTCATTTTCAATACAATTTAACTCTTGTTAATGTTTTGAACAACATGTGTATGCAAGTATTTGTATTGTTTTAATGGAATTTAAACAATGAATTGTTGACGGATTTTTCCGTTATTTACCGATCATCACAAGGGGCAAACGGAGGGTGTGACCGGTCGACAGGGGATGCTAACTCCTCCATGGCATCTAATCCTACCTCTGATGTTTTTGGAGGTCCGTGTTTGCTCTGCTTCCGATTTTTATTGTTTTAATAGAATTTAACTTGAATACTATTCGTTATCTCCATTTTATATGTAAAACCTCTAGATCTAGTGAAGTCTGCATTTGTACCTGGCGTAGAAAAGTTGTCTTAATTACCTGTAGTGTAAACACTGGTTTATTCAAGGCATTGTTTAAATATATTAAAAAACATATTAACTTTTTTTGAAGGAAACAATGTGACTCATTCCTTGTAATTCTGAACAAGTGCAGACATGTTGCTTTGAAAAGCTTTATAAGAAATAACGGATATTTTTGTCTTTGAACATAATTAATCAGATTAAAAATAAGATAAAGTAGCTTATCGTTTGTTCATCATTTCTTTCGTAATTTTCAAGAATTGAACAAGCACACAGGTAACCAAGAGTCTGAAATTGTCGTAGCACATTTCTGAAGCTTCCAGTGAGTGCATCATAAAGTATTGATTCTTAGTAAACAGAGCAAAGAGATGATGTAATATTAATGAAATAGGTATTCTTGGTAACATGTAAAATAGAGAATTTTATTTTTAAGTTCCAGGGTCCTTTAATGGCACTCAATTATTTAAAACAATTTAAGAACTAATTCAAAGGGAATTTCCGGGAAAATCAGGAGTCAAACTGTACTTAAAGTCAATGGAAAATCTGTGATTTATTGTGTTAGATGTATCTATGGAATAAATGATCCTGGTGATTCCAAGGTCACCAATCTCCCTGATTGATAACAGAAACGATTCTATAAGCCTCAGTTCATGATCTCCCAAACCAAAGCTTCCGGGAATACATCAAAAATAATGATCCACAAAGCACGCACTCATTTTGTGTTATTTATTTGATACAAAATGGACATTAAGATCATTTTGATACAGGCTTTTAGAATATGGAGTAAATAAGATTATATTTCTATTATGATAAACACAGTTTACAGAACAATTATTTATAAGGTACTCTGTAATATTCCAAATAACCTTTCAATATTCAACAATCATCCATGTGGACCTCTCTCGAAGACCTTTTACAAGATCATATAAAGATGGTTTATGTTGTATTTAAGACTATATTTCGCCATTCTGTGGTCATAAGTGGTTTGTCAATTGTCCCTAACCTGGACATAGCCAGACAAGATTCTTACCGGGCCACTCTTACTGTCTCATCTTATAAGGGGAAATAGGGACAGTACTACTACTTAGCTAAATAAAGCTAAAAGCAATGAAAAACTATTCTTACTGCAATCCCTTGCAAAACATTTATCAAGAAATGTTTATGTATATCTAATTTTGCACTGGCAAATTTGTGCCCCCAAGGGCCTAAAAATGCGTAGCTTGAAAATTAACCTCATCATTGGAACCATTTTATAAGCTAGAAGCACTTATTTGCATGCGATTAGCGATGTCATATAAATGTTTAAAGTTTTTTTCCCGTACGAAATATTGTCAGTGGAACTCCATTCATTGTGGTTTTTAAAAGAAATCGAATCTGTTACTGGATACTTTTAAAAACATTATAGATGAGCCATCAAGTTTGCAAGTAAATACAATTTAAAAAGAAGCATTATTTTTTTTATTATTAACATTTTGCCTCGGACTAGAATGACACCGTGTTATTGAAGATATGGATGAGACGCTTCACTTTTGCCGCGTAAGTTTTGTTACACAGCAAAAAGCAAACTTTGATAGTAACACGGAACGTCTTTTCAATGTTGACACGGAATCTTAATAGATTTTCTACTGACTGTCTCTTTTTGGTCAATGAAAATGAAATATTTATCAAATTTGTTAGACTTTCTACTGAAAATTGCAAGGTTGTTAAAGTCCATAAAAGGCGAGACGAAGCAGTATAACAACCCTTATAAGAAATATATTAGCATAGGTATTCCTAGTACATGTATCTATGATTTTTTTTATAATAATTGTGTAAACATGATTGTGACGTAAACATTTTGTTTGGTTGTCCATTCTATATCTTTTTGATAACTCTTCAAATAATCTATTAAGTTACCTGTAAGTATCCATTCTTTTTGGAAAATTGTCCATTTTTTTTTTTAGATTGGACAGTTTTTTTTTCAAAAAGAATGGACAGTTAAAACAAACAGAATGGAAAGTTACAGGTAAAGGCTAAAATGTACCCAAGGGGGGATAAAACCCAAATATATTAAATTTCATTTAATTAACATGTAAACAAAAAAAAAGAAACATATAGGTCTTAGTTAACCATGAACACAATATCTGTACAGTGTCCTTTTAATTTTGCACTCTTAAATCCATGAATGATTTACGTTATTTTAACACTTAAAACACTCTTTTCACTCTTTTTATCCCATTGCTGAAGTTAAAATATAGTCAAAAAGTAAATGAATAAAGAGAGTTAGATAGAAATACGGCTAATATGAAATCCAACACTCAGAACACAGTTTGCACCAAACTGTTTCTAATATTTCTAGATTTGATTCAAATTGGGTTACCTCTGTTTTGTTGGAAAAGAAATCGATTTTCAAGTCGGAATTTGGCTAGTAGGTCCAGGTCCGGATTTTACTCATTTCGTTCATCTTTTCCATTGTTAGATTTTGATTCTGCCATACTCTCTCCATTGTAGGAAAACGTATTTGACCTTACGAAGCACAGTTTAAACTGATTTGTAGCATCACATACTTTCTGATACCTGTATCCCAATTTCACCTGTAACTGTCCTTCTTTAGACAAAAACCTTTCGCTATTTTGCTCTCTGGAAAACAAAAGCTATTCAACCAAATGCTGTGCACTTTTAGCTTACCCGTGACTGTCCATTCTATTAACAATGAACCTGCCATTGTATGTGCTACCCAACACAATTCATTCTTTAAATTTATACGATACTAGATTTCTTAATTTAATTCCCAGAACAAAGACAATCATGTTCTTAGTAAGAAAAAAAAACATACTACAAGTCATTCTGTGGATGCTGCATGCGAAAAAAAAAATAGTTTTGAGATAATGCTAAAATGTTAGAACTGGCCAGTTTCCATGTAAATACGTCACCCATTAACCAATATTGCAGGGGGATTTTCAAGTGGAAATTTAAATGTAAAATTAATAAATCCTATGTTGAATAAACTTGCAGAGTTGTTGTTTCTGGGTTTGAATGCCACAAATGATGCTCGAATTCTAGATCTGCATGTGACTTATTTTTCTGGATAGATGGTGAGAAATAATTTCTGAAAAGATGTCCTTTCTCGAGCGATAAAAGCCCAACAATAGCAAAACGTGCAAATATGCTACATGGGGTGGGATAATTGAAATTAAGATACAATTAAACTAGAGTAAGGTGCAAATGAAAGTAAACGAAAATAAAATTTGTGAGAAGTCTCCTAGCTTATACAGTATAAGATTATTCTGCAAATTATATCTAAGTTGATTATATACTTTTGATAAATTGAACTTAAGACTACTTTATTGTAAATTTTATTTGCATATATAACCAAGCATCAATGTTCTGTATATTTTCCCAGGAGAAGTTTGATCTCGGTGAGTTGATGCTATCTCTCTGTTATCTCCCCACTGCTGGGCGCCTTACATTGACCGTTGTCAAGGCCCGAAATCTAAAAGCCATGGACATTACAGGATCCTCAGGTGAGATGTGTCATTATCGTTATTTTAGATTGCTTCTTGGTATGAGAAAATTAGTGTGCTGAAAAGATGTGTTAGCTGTGGCTATTCAGTAGAAAAGTCTTTGAAGTATTATAGTACTTTAGACTGTATTCAACACTCTATTGAATCTTTACATTTTTCTGCAATTAAGACAAACATTTCCTTCATTAAATTTTCAGTAATGCTCTATTTTTCACATCATGATGGTATTTTGTTGATGTCTTAAATGATGCATTGTTACTCATTGATGTCTTTTGACGGAGATTGGGTCTTACTAAAAAAAGCACCCACGTGAATTTTTTATCATGATGACTTAAATGATGATATTATTTGTTTCAGTAAAACATATAATGTGAAAAAAAGAAAACTTTCTTTCTGTAGTTGGCTGACTCATACTGTTTTAGCAAAAATTCATTTTTATAAACAATATTTAAAGTCATAAGCAAAAAGTATGAATTATCAATACAATATTTTTGGGTAAGTTTTCTACATATTAGGAAATAAGAATTTTACAGTATCACTCTGCTCTTTTCTTCCTCAAAAGACCCGTATGTAAAGGTGTCACTGATGTGTCAAGGTAAACGTATAAAGAAGAGGAAGACGTCTGTGAAAAAGAACACCTTAAACCCGGTCTATAACGAGGCTCTGGTGTTTGATGTTCCTCAGGAGAATGTTGATGACGTGTATTTAATTGTCAAAGTGATTGACTACGATCGGTAAGTCAAAGAAAGAAACTTCACATGTACTGATCTTTTTATGTCATTTTGCAATTCATATGCCTAACCTTAAAATTGCAAGCACTTAAATTCATCAAAGTCATTATTTAAATCATGCTAATCAAAATAAACAACTGCAGATCAATACAGTTGATGACATGATTTGATTATCAAAATGACTACCACAGGTAGGTCAATATCTAATTACACAACGAAGTTCCATCCATTATTTTGTCTACAAGTGTTTGCACATATTCTTTAAACAATCTGAATGAAACTTCTCAAAAATAATAATCACCTGGCCTAGTTTATGTTCAACGGTTAAAACTTTCACAATAGAAACCATCGCCACTGAAACAGAAACAAAAGAATAAAATCTGATAATTTGAAATCTTTTCAGTAAATATCGAACCAATTAAAAAAAACTTTTTAAAGTGTTATTCCTTGCATAAAGTCAAACTTATTTTTGAAAAAAAAATGAATTGCTTTGACAAATTTTTCATTGTTGCCATGAAAACAGAAAGGGGGTGTTTTTTGTTGTTTTTTTTAAGTCTTTTTTCTTTGTGTAAAGTTATCTCAAAACTGCATAACATTGATGTGTAACTATCTTCACTAGTTACTGGGGATTAAGATTTAGAAAAAAAAAGAACTTTCAACTTTTTCATATATATAGATTATAACGCGTATTCTATTTGTACAAGTTTTACAATTGCTGTTTTTAGATACACAGCTTACACAGAAATCCCGAGAAAGAAATGTGGGAATAATAATAGATGAATTTTTCAGAATAATTAAGATACTTTACTTTTGGAAGATATATCTGACAAATTTTCGCTATCATGAATAAAATGGTTTGAACCAAGATTTTTACTACATACATGTACATGTATATTTTATATAAACATATGATATTTTACTCATTAAATACGGCGAATTCATAGGAAAAGTGTGGATAATAAAGGATTAACACTTCCTTTTTTCAGAATAGGGAGTAACGAAGTAATGGGCTGTTGTGCTCTGGGACCCAAATACCCAGGACTAGGAAGAGACCACTGGTTTGAAATGCTAGAAAATCCCCGGAAACCGCTTGCTCAGTGGTACACTCTACAAGAACACGTACCCTTTTGTACCAGTGAAAACATCACAGGTAAATGTAAACTGAACTGTCAAGGGCAGTCTAGACAGTCCACGGTGGATTCTAGCGAGGGAAGTATGTATGGGTGATGATTTCTGATGAGGAGTCAAGAAAAAATGGATACAATTCTTTTCCTTGTATATGTTTTTCTCTAATTTGTCAAGCAATGCTTTGTGAATATTTGTCAAAAATACAACCTTAATGATTAAATTTAGATGTACTGATATATATATATATATATATATATATATATATATATATATATATATATATATATATATATATATATATATATATATATATATATATATATATATATATGCTCATTGTGTTGTAGTGAATCTAAATAATAACTAAATATTTGCTTTAAACACTTTTTAACATTTGAAGCTTTATAAATATATTATCAAATAATTGTTATGTAAAGTATATATTTTATAAAGATTTCTTTATACTTTTCATGATAGTTATTACAGAGAAAACTATAATTTGTATGTTATCCAGATATCAATGCATATTATATTCCTGAATCATTAAGCTATACATTGTATTTATTTTTTTATTCTCAATAGGATGTTTTGTCCATACGGTAGTTTCCAGTATTTGCTATCTATCTAACTGTCAGCTGTTATAAAATACAAAAAATTTTTAAAAAATTATTCAGTCCAGTATTCAACAGGACATAAAATTTTTTTTTAGTCCTCTGTTAACCATATATTCTAAGCTTTGGAAGAAGAACTGAGTTGACTTATAAGCACCTTATGATGTCATTGTTGTTTTATAGATATAGCGTCATTATCTATTGGCATTGTTGTGTTTATGAATGTGTGTCTAATGACTGTTATCAGTGTGGAAGAGTTAATATATATGATTATTAATACCTTAATCTATATTATTTTACTACATTTTTAAAAAAATGAAAACTGTTTATATTTCAACTTTATTGATATTTTGAACGATTTAAGTCGTGTGAATAAAATTGAAGAAATGTTGCAAGATTTTAAGACATTCTATTTCTTTCTTATTCAAAGATTTTAATCAATGTATTTCGTTGGTCTTTATTTCTCTTTTATTGAATTCATATTTAGCCCTTACCTAGGGTTTTAAGATTTCTCAAATTTTAATGGTAAGCCTCCTTACTGAAGATGGGGGAGGATGTACACATATAACTGCTTATTCCAACTGTCGTTTGTTGTCAATTAGGTTTCACGATTCTCATACCATATTATGAAATAACTCATTGATTGACAAAAATAGTAGATTAAAATTGAGATGTGTTATTATACCAAGGACATTAAATGTCATATGACCGGGAAAAAATGTAATTGAATATATATCACTTCAGGAAAATAAAAAAAAAATAATTAAATTTCTAAATTATCATCACCTAGTAAAAACAACATTGTTTCACAATTCTGCATTTCCCAGAGCTGCAAGCATTCTCTCTCAATTCTTTGGATTTGTGAAATGCCTGAGAACGTCTAGGTCATTAATTTTGGTTGCTATATGGTTGGAGTAATGTATTCCCCAGGGTGAAAATAGATAGATGCAAAGTGAAAACTTATACCAAGCTCAAGTGTATTCATATGTAGACTCAATACATCCCAGTAAACTCGGAATTAAATACATCACATAGAGACTGTCACTCCTTTTTTCATATTTTGATATTTATCGCTATAGACGTTAGTGTCCAAATAACAACTAAAGTAACTGGATGTCTACAGCTATTTTATAATCTCTTTTATCTATTTATGAAGTAATATTCCTTTTTCACCTAGGTATGGTGTTAATGTCTCCAAACTGATTCGGTATGCGAGAACATGTTCTTATTTCGATAATTTTTCATTCCAGGGTACTGACAAATAAGTTAATGAGACAGGCTTTTAAAGTCAACATTTGGCGAACTCTATTGTCGTTATAATGACCTAAATTACAATTTCAACGTAGAATTTGGTCGTATGTTGACCGGTGTTTTTCATACCAATTGTAAAGCAATTGTTTTAAAACTAATTTTGAATACGATTTACTCCATTTATCTGATCAATATAGAGTGCCCACGGCTGGTGTGAGCTGAGGACAGGGAATGCTTAATCTTCCTTGACACTGTATCTGGTTCTACCTCTGGAGTTCCCAGGGGTCCTTATGCCATTTGGATTTTAGTCCTGTACATCAATATTCGTTGAAGGTGCTTAATTGATGCTGAGAAATATCTTAGATATCTACAAAAATGATGACCCCCTTGAAATATTATACAATTATTTAATGCCCGAGCAGTCAATAGATCAAAATATTTTTCACGAGGTACAGAGAACAGCTCAGTGTACTCTATTGTACGAGGCCTTGTTAAATTCGAAACCCGGATCGGTTTTTCCGAAATACGTTGCCGGTCCAATAGATCGGAGTCTATTGACCGGCAGTTCAATAGATCGGTTTTAAAAGATAAGAAAACTAAATACGAGGGGTTTTAAAAAAAAATCGCGAACTAATTGAATAACTTCCTTAAAAGAAATGAAATTAAGTTTCAGTGTTCATTATTTTTAACAGAGTCCTCTTCGATTTAAATGCACATCTGACACCGTTCTGTCCATGCGCGAATCACGTGATACTGGCGGTCACGTGACATGCTCCGTAGCGTTCTGTTCAGAGAAGCTAAAAGATTTTTCCGAGTCTTATATTTCTTACCATGCAAGTTATTTTTTATAACAAGATCAGTCCATTTGTCAGAAATGGCCAAATCTCGGCAATAGGATGGGTGGATAAGGATATTCTTTACCAGAATGAGCATGGTGACCATCACAATCCGAGTCTTCTGTCTTGGGAACGTCGTTTATCCAATGTGGATAAAGTATGGGCGTCTTCTTTTTATCATATCAGACATGTTTAAAGTACAAAATAAACGATATTTTATGGAATTAATAATTATATTATCGTTAAGATATTCTGCTTTTTTTCTAACTGTAACTTTGCGATCTTTCATAACAAATTGCTCAACTATCGACGCATCTCTTCCCCAGCTTGCTTTCACTGAGCAACAGAACAAGCATTATTTTTAACCATCTCCCTTCCTTCACTAATACAATCAATGCAATAAATGATTAAACTTCTGGCAAGTCTTTTGTCTTCATAAACCTTATACAAATTATTATATGCTACTGCCAAGGAATTTCCAAGATATACGTTAAACTTTACAACAATTTGTTTCTCGAGTATGACTGAGTCAACCATTTTTTGTCAAAAGTCTCCTACATATTGACGTCATTTTCACATTGTGACGTCACAAACATTGAACAAAACATTACATAATAAAATGATGTCAAAGAAGTGTTTGTTCTCCGACCAAGAATATGTACGGTAAAACACGCTCATACCGAAGTGCCAGGGACAGAAAAATTTGCTTCGTTATAAGCATTTTTCGTTATATCCGTTAAGTGTTCAATATATTTTAAAGTCAATGAGAATGAAAATCACTTCGCTATAAGCGTAAATTCATTAAAAGCGTGTTCGCTATAAGCATGTTTTACTGTATACAACTCCTTGAACAGCGAACACAGCAATTGTATCAATGACTGTTTTACGTTTACGAGAAATTTTGTTGCAACAATGAATTTTAGACAAATAAAATTAAAAGAAATAAAAATCATTGATAAGAAACAAAGCAGCAATGATTTCGAGATATCTAATTTTAGACGTTTTAAAAATAATATTACACAACTTCAGCCCTGGGAAGCATTTCATAAAAAAAAAAACAATAAGCTGAATTGTTGAAAATCTTCTATTTCAATGTATCCGGCATACAATATAATATAGTAGTGAAGTAGTAATGAAGTAGAAAAAAACTCCGTTTTTTCTTGTTAAATACCATTAACAATTACACAATGATATTCCTTAGAGATGAAATGGAAGCTATATACATTTATCATTTTATCCAGTAGAGAGTTTGCGTTATTCAAATCTGTGAACTATTTTCTATTATTACTGCTCAATACTGGCAAATAAAGCCCAATAGTATACGCATTTCTGTGGTTTGGCCTAAATAAAATTGCTTTTGCACTTATTTTACTATACATAGAGACAAATACATGTAGATGAATTTATTAGAAAGAGAAGTTAGTCCATCCTTAAAGAATTTGTCATCAGCATTTAAACTTTTATTACTGATTTTTTCCCCCTGAAGTCTTCATTAGCAGTAAATGCTTATACAAATGCTTTTTTAAAATTTAAAAAAAAATTATGGCATATCATTTTAATTGCATACAAAGATATATTTAAGCTTCAATCCTATTTTTTAAATCCCAAATTACATATTGTGCATACATGTATATCTCGATCATAATACGAAGGTTACATACGTACTACTACATGTATTTTAAACAATGTGAAATGAAAAATTTATGCAAGAAAAAGAGAAAGGATGATAATCACAACCAAAAGTAACTAAATCTTAAATGTCTCACATATTATTGGTCTGTTCCCGTGGGAAAGATTCGACCCCCTGAACTTTTCTAGTTTTCTTCTTTACTTCGGCGGAAACCAAACTTTATCTCTCCTCGATCTCAGACAAATTAGGCCCTGCCATTTGTACATGCACATGTTAATGTTGGTCTTGGATAACCAATTTTTTAAATCTCAATTTGTTTATTTATTCTTTTTCCTAAAGACAATATACATGTATATTTTTTTTATTAAACAGTGTTTTTCCTCCTTATTATTGTATGCTGACTGCTGAAAAATAAACAAAAATATTCCTGATGATGACTAATTCGATTTAAAACAAGGATCGATTTTATAGACATTTTCAGCTGCTCAGGAAGACGTATAACAAATGTTCACATGGTTATCACGGCTTATTACGTAAGTATGTTCTAGGGGGAATTCAAATTCAAAGAGCAATGAATGATAAAATGACATTAACTTGAAGCTAATCCTAGAGTCATTGATAACTCAAAAGGGGAAAATGTGACATTTCATCTAGGAGAAATTCGTTAACTTAAACGTTTACTAATTTTCAAAGGAATTTATCATTCAAATATTCGCACATATAAGAAGTCAGATTTCAGTAATTATTATTTTTTGGCTCTTTTTTTAATAATACAATGTAATAAAATAATAAACATGCAACAAATTTTACTATATACAGTAGCGTCAATCTGCATCCTACAAGACAATGTTGCACAAATCATGAAAAATTACGGTGCATACTATCTATATACACAGATTATATGTTCATTCTCTTTACAAAGAAATATATTACAGGGGATATTACTTTTTGATTATGACATTTAATTTAATTACAAAGTAAAATAATACCATAAGTTCTGAGGTAATAATTATAATGCATCTAATGTTGGTTGCCAAGTTTCATTAAAAATATCTTAATTACTAATTGAGCAATACGCTGTCCTTTTAAGTAGTAATTTCTTTTTCAGAAGGTATAAAAAGGCATGAAAACTTGGTTCTTTTTAGGGACATTCAAATTAGCTATATATGAAAGTAAACGAAAATAAAATTTGTGAGAAGTCTCCTAGCTTATACAGTATAAGATTATTCTGCAAATTATATCTAAGTTGATTATATACTTTTGATAAATTGAACTTAAGACTACTTTATTGTAAATTTTATTTGCATATATAACCAAGCATCAATGTTCTGTATATTTTCCCAGGAGAAGTTTGATCTCGGTGAGTTGATGCTATCTCTCTGTTATCTCCCCACTGCTGGGCGCCTTACATTGACCGTTGTCAAGGCCCGAAATCTAAAAGCCATGGACATTACAGGATCCTCAGGTGAGATGTGTCATTATCGTTATTTTAGATTGCTTCTTGGTATGAGAAAATTAGTGTGCTGAAAAGATGTGTTAGCTGTGGCTATTCAGTAGAAAAGTCTTTGAAGTATTATAGTACTTTAGACTGTATTCAACACTCTATTGAATCTTTACATTTTTCTGCAATTAAGACAAACATTTCCTTCATTAAATTTTCAGTAATGCTCTATTTTTCACATCATGATGGTATTTTGTTGATGTCTTAAATGATGCATTGTTACTCATTGATGTCTTTTGACGGAGATTGGGTCTTACTAAAAAAAGCACCCACGTGAATTTTTTATCATGATGACTTAAATGATGATATTATTTGTTTCAGTAAAACATATAATGTGAAAAAAAGAAAACTTTCTTTCTGTAGTTGGCTGACTCATACTGTTTTAGCAAAAATTCATTTTTATAAACAATATTTAAAGTCATAAGCAAAAAGTATGAATTATCAATACAATATTTTTGGGTAAGTTTTCTACATATTAGGAAATAAGAATTTTACAGTATCACTCTGCTCTTTTCTTCCTCAAAAGACCCGTATGTAAAGGTGTCACTGATGTGTCAAGGTAAACGTATAAAGAAGAGGAAGACGTCTGTGAAAAAGAACACCTTAAACCCGGTCTATAACGAGGCTCTGGTGTTTGATGTTCCTCAGGAGAATGTTGATGACGTGTATTTAATTGTCAAAGTGATTGACTACGATCGGTAAGTCAAAGAAAGAAACTTCACATGTACTGATCTTTTTATGTCATTTTGCAATTCATATTCCTAACCTTAAAATTGCAAGCACTTAAATTCATCAAAGTCATTATTTAAATCATGCTAATCAAAATAAACAACTGCAGATCAATACAGTTGATGACATGATTTGATTATCAAAATGACTACCACAGGTAGGTCAATATCTAATTACACAACGAAGTTCCATCCATTATTTTGTCTACAAGTGTTTGCACATATTCTTTAAACAATCTGAATGAAACTTCTCAAAAATAATAATCACCTGGCCTAGTTTATGTTCAACGGTTAAAACTTTCACAATAGAAACCATCGCCACTGAAACAGAAACAAAAGAATAAAATCTGATAATTTGAAATCTTTTCAGTAAATATCGAACCAATTAAAAAAAACTTTTTAAAGTGTTATTCCTTGCATAAAGTCAAACTTATTTTTGAAAAAAAAATGAATTGCTTTGACAAATTTTTCATTGTTGCCATGAAAACAGAAAGGGGGTGTTTTTTGTTGTTTTTTTTAAGTCTTTTTTCTTTGTGTAAAGTTATCTCAAAACTGCATAACATTGATGTGTAACTATCTTCACTAGTTACTGGGGATTAAGATTTAGAAAAAAAAAGAACTTTCAACTTTTTCATATATATAGATTATAACGCGTATTCTATTTGTACAAGTTTTACAATTGCTGTTTTTAGATACACAGCTTACACAGAAATCCCGAGAAAGAAATGTGGGAATAATAATAGATGAATTTTTCAGAATAATTAAGATACTTTACTTTTGGAAGATATATCTGACAAATTTTCGCTATCATGAATAAAATGGTTTGAACCAAGATTTTTACTACATACATGTACATGTATATTTTATATAAACATATGATATTTTACTCATTAAATACGGCGAATTCATTGGAAAAGTGTGGATAATAAAGGATTAACACTTCCTTTTTTCAGAATAGGGAGTAACGAAGTAATGGGCTGTTGTGCTCTGGGACCCAAATACCCAGGACTAGGAAGAGACCACTGGTTTGAAATGCTAGAAAATCCCCGGAAACCGCTTGCTCAGTGGTACACTCTACAAGAACACGTACCCTTTTGTACCAGTGAAAACATCACAGGTAAATGTAAACTGAACTGTCAAGGGCAGTCTAGACAGTCCACGGTGGATTCTAGCGAGGGAAGTATGTATGGGTGATGATTTCTGATGAGGAGTCAAGAAAAAATGGATACAATTCTTTTCCTTGTATATGTTTTTCTCTAATTTGTCAAGCAATGCTTTGTGAATATTTGTCAAAAATACAACCTTAATGATTAAATTTAGATGTACTGATATATATATATATATATATATATATATATATATATATATATATATATATATATATATATATATATATATGCTCATTGTGTTGTAGTGAATCTAAATAATAACTAAATATTTGCTTTAAACACTTTTTAACATTTGAAGCTTTATAAATATATTATCAAATAATTGTTATGTAAAGTATATATTTTATAAAGATTTCTTTATACTTTTCATGATAGTTATTACAGAGAAAACTATAATTTGTATGTTATCCAGATATCAATGCATATTATATTCCTGAATCATTAAGCTATACATTGTATTTATTTTTTTATTCTCAATAGGATGTTTTGTCCATACGGTAGTTTCCAGTATTTGCTATCTATCTAACTGTCAGCTGTTATAAAATACAAAAATTTTTTAAAAAATTATTCAGTCCAGTATTCAACAGGACATAAATTTTTTTTTTAGTCCTCTGTTAACCATATATTCTAAGCTTTGGAAGAAGAACTGAGTTGACTTATAAGCACCTTATGATGTCATTGTTGTTTTATAGATATAGCGTCATTATCTATTGGCATTGTTGTGTTTATGAATGTGTGTCTAATGACTGTTATCAGTGTGGAAGAGTTAATATATATGATTATTAATACCTTAATCTATATTATTTTACTACATTTTTAAAAAATGAAAACTGTTTATATTTCAACTTTATTGATATTTTGAACGATTTAAGTCGTGTGAATAAAATTGAAGAAATGTTGCAAGATTTTAAGACATTCTATTTCTTTCTTATTCAAAGATTTTAATCAATGTATTTCGTTGGTCTTTATTTCTCTTTTATTGAATTCATATTTAGCCCTTACCTAGGGTTTTAAGATTTCTCAAATTTTAATGGTAAGCCTCCTTACTGAAGATGGGGGAGGATGTACACATATAACTGCTTATTCCAACTGTCGTTTGTTGTCAATTAGGTTTCACGATTCTCATACCATATTATGAAATAACTCATTGATTGACAAAAATAGTAGATTAAAATTGAGATGTGTTATTATACCAAGGACATTAAATGTCATATGACCGGGAAAAAATGTAATTGAATATATATCACTTCAGGAAAATAAAAAAAAAATAATTAAATTTCTAAATTATCATCACCTAGTAAAAACAACATTGTTTCACAATTCTGCATTTCCCAGAGCTGCAAGCATTCTCTCTCAATTCTTTGGATTTGTGAAATGCCTGAGAACGTCTAGGTCATTAATTTTGGTTGCTATATGGTTGGAGTAATGTATTCCCCAGGGTGAAAATAGATAGATGCAAAGTGAAAACTTATACCAAGCTCAAGTGTATTCATATGTAGACTCAATACATCCCAGTAAACTCGGAATTAAATACATCACATAGAGACTGTCACTCCTTTTTTCATATTTTGATATTTATCGCTATAGACGTTAGTGTCCAAATAACAACTAAAGTAACTGGATGTCTACAGCTATTTTATAATCTCTTTTATCTATTTATGAAGTAATATTCCTTTTTCACCTAGGTATGGTGTTAATGTCTCCAAACTGATTCGGTATGCGAGAACATGTTCTTATTTCGATAATTTTTCATTCCAGGGTACTGACAAATAAGTTAATGAGACAGGCTTTTAAAGTCAACATTTGGCGAACTCTATTGTCGTTATAATGACCTAAATTACAATTTCAACGTAGAATTTGGTCGTATGTTGACCGGTGTTTTTCATACCAATTGTAAAGCAATTGTTTTAAAACTAATTTTGAATACGATTTACTCCATTTATCTGATCAATATAGAGTGCCCACGGCTGGTGTGAGCTGAGGACAGGGAATGCTTAATCTTCCTTGACACTGTATCTGGTTCTACCTCTGGAGTTCCCAGGGGTCCTTATGCCATTTGGATTTTAGTCCTGTACATCAATATTCGTTGAAGGTGCTTAATTGATGCTGAGAAATATCTTAGATATCTACAAAAATGATGACCCCCTTGAAATATTATACAATTATTTAATGCCCGAGCAGTCAATAGATCAAAATATTTTTCACGAGGTACAGAGAACAGCTCAGTGTACTCTATTGTACGAGGCCTTGTTAAATTCGAAACCCGGATCGGTTTTTCCGAAATACGTTGCCGGTCCAATAGATCGGAGTCTATTGACCGGCAGTTCAATAGATCGGTTTTAAAAGATAAGAAAACTAAATACGAGGGGTTTTAAAAAAAAATCGCGAACTAATTGAATAACTTCCTTAAAAGAAATGAAATTAAGTTTCAGTGTTCATTATTTTTAACAGAGTCCTCTTCGATTTAAATGCACATCTGACACCGTTCTGTCCATGCGCGAATCACGTGATACTGGCGGTCACGTGACATGCTCCGTAGCGTTCTGTTCAGAGAAGCTAAAAGATTTTTCCGAGTCTTATATTTCTTACCATGCAAGTTATTTTTTATAACAAGATCAGTCCATTTGTCAGAAATGGCCAAATCTCGGCAATAGGATGGGTGGATAAGGATATTCTTTACCAGAATGAGCATGGTGACCATCACAATCCGAGTCTTCTGTCTTGGGAACGTCGTTTATCCAATGTGGATAAAGTATGGGCGTCTTCTTTTTATCATATCAGACATGTTTAAAGTACAAAATAAACGATATTTTATGGAATTAATAATTATATTATCGTTAAGATATTCTGCTTTTTTTCTAACTGTAACTTTGCGATCTTTCATAACAAATTGCTCAACTATCGACGCATCTCTTCCCCAGCTTGCTTTCACTGAGCAACAGAACAAGCATTATTTTTAACCATCTCCCTTCCTTCACTAATACAATCAATGCAATAAATGATTAAACTTCTGGCAAGTCTTTTGTCTTCATAAACCTTATACAAATTATTATATGCTACTGCCAAGGAATTTCCAAGATATACGTTAAACTTTACAACAATTTGTTTCTCGAGTATGACTGAGTCAACCATTTTTTGTCAAAAGTCTCCTACATATTGACGTCATTTTCACATTGTGACGTCACAAACATTGAACAAAACATTACATAATAAAATGATGTCAAAGAAGTGTTTGTTCTCCGACCAAGAATATGTACGGTAAAACACGCTCATACCGAAGTGCCAGGGACAGAAAAATTTGCTTCGTTATAAGCATTTTTCGTTATATCCGTTAAGTGTTCAATATATTTTAAAGTCAATGAGAATGAAAATCACTTCGCTATAAGCGTAAATTCATTAAAAGCGTGTTCGCTATAAGCATGTTTTACTGTATACAACTCCTTGAACAGCGAACACAGCAATTGTATCAATGACTGTTTTACGTTTACGAGAAATTTTGTTGCAACAATGAATTTTAGACAAATAAAATTAAAAGAAATAAAAATCATTGATAAGAAACAAAGCAGCAATGATTTCGAGATATCTAATTTTAGACGTTTTAAAAATAATATTACACAACTTCAGCCCTGGGAAGCATTTCATAAAAAAAAAACAATAAGCTGAATTGTTGAAAATCTTCTATTTCAATGTATCCGGCATACAATATAATATAGTAGTGAAGTAGTAATGAAGTAGAAAAAAACTCCGTTTTTTCTTGTTAAATACCATTAACAATTACACAATGATATTCCTTAGAGATGAAATGGAAGCTATATACATTTATCATTTTATCCAGTAGAGAGTTTGCGTTATTCAAATCTGTGAACTATTTTCTATTATTACTGCTCAATACTGGCAAATAAAGCCCAATAGTATACGCATTTCTGTGGTTTGGCCTAAATAAAATTGCTTTTGCACTTATTTTACTATACATAGAGACAAATACATGTAGATGAATTTATTAGAAAGAGAAGTTAGTCCATCCTTAAAGAATTTGTCATCAGCATTTAAACTTTTATTACTGATTTTTTCCCCCTGAAGTCTTCATTAGCAGTAAATGCTTATACAAATGCTTTTTTAAAATTTAAAAAAAAATTATGGCATATCATTTTAATTGCATACAAAGATATATTTAAGCTTCAATCCTATTTTTTAAATCCCAAATTACATATTGTGCATACATGTATATCTCGATCATAATACGAAGGTTACATACGTACTACTACATGTATTTTAAACAATGTGAAATGAAAAATTTATGCAAGAAAAAGAGAAAGGATGATAATCACAACCAAAGTAACTAAATCTTAAATGTCTCACATATTATTGGTCTGTTCCCGTGGGAAAGATTCGACCCCCTGAACTTTTCTAGTTTTCTTCTTTACTTCGGCGGAAACCAAACTTTATCTCTCCTCGATCTCAGACAAATTAGGCCCTGCCATTTGTACATGCACATGTTAATGTTGGTCTTGGATAACCAATTTTTAAATCTCAATTTGTTTATTTATTCTTTTTCCTAAAGACAATATACATGTATATTTTTTTTATTTAATCAGTGTTTTTCCTCCTTATTATTGTATGCTGACTGCTGAAAAATAAACAAAAATATTCCTGATGATGACTAATTCGATTTAAAACAAGGATCGATTTTATAGACATTTTCAGCTGCTCAGGAAGACGTATAACAAATGTTCACATGGTTATCACGGCTTATTACGTAAGTATGTTCTAGGGGGAATTCAAATTCAAAGAGCAATGAATGATAAAATGACATTAACTTGAAGCTAATCCTAGAGTCATTGATAACTCAAAAGGGGAAAATGTGACATTTCATCTAGGAGAAATTCGTTAACTTAAACGTTTACTAATTTTCAAAGGAATTTATCATTCAAATATTCGCACATATAAGAAGTCAGATTTCAGTAATTATTATTTTTTGGCTCTTTTTTTAATAATACAATGTAATAAAATAATAAACATGCAACAAATTTTACTATATACAGTAGCGTCAATCTGCATCCTACAAGACAATGTTGCACAAATCATGAAAAATTACGGTGCATACTATCTATATACACAGATTATATGTTCATTCTCTTTACAAAGAAATATATTACAGGGGATATTACTTTTTGATTATGACATTTAATTTAATTACAAAGTAAAATAATACCATAAGTTCTGAGGTAATAATTATAATGCATCTAATGTTGGTTGCCAAGTTTCATTAAAAATATCTTAATTACTAATTGAGCAATACGCTGTCCTTTTAAGTAGTAATTTCTTTTTCAGAAGGTATAAAAGGCATGAAAACTTGGTTCTTTTTAGGGACATTCAAATTAGCTATAGACACTGAATGTATATAAAACTTAGAAGCAAAATAAAGTAATTTAAACAATTAATTTTTCTCTCATACAACATTTTGACAAGATAGCTTGTCTATGTGGAAAATGTGTAGATCATTCCACCAAGTTAGAAAGTGATTCCAAAATGTTGCAACACAAGTACAGTAATAAAACTTGTGCTCAACAGTTTTCAGTAATTAACTAATCTTGGAGGCTTTTAACAAAGAAATGTCATGATTTACTGAGTATATTGTATTCAAAAGTAGGTCATCATTCAAAGCAACTGTCCTTTACATCTGCAATTCAGTCATCCCTCCTATAACTAATTAGGAACCAATAATGGAACTTGACCAATGTATAACCGCCTTTAATTACGAGCACCTGACAAATGCTCCCATCCGCTGTTGTGAAGTAAATCATCATTTACGATGGCATTTTCTTTGATTTTTATGCCGCCGGATCGAAAGATCCCGGGGATATATTATGTCCTCTCTGTCTGTTTGTCTGTTGTCAACTTTAACCTTGCCCACAACTTTTGATTGGTTGGACCTCTGACTTTCATATTTCACATGTGTATTCCTTGTGACAAGACCTTTCTTTGGGTATCATCATATTTGACCTTTTGACCTTGACCTTGGAGTTTGACCCACTTTTGCAAAATTTTATGAGACTTTAACCTTGGACATAACTTCTGAACAGTTGGTGCTTGGGGTTTCAAACTTCACATGTGTATTCTTTGTATCAAGGCCTTCCTTTGGATACAAACAACTTTGACCTTTTGACCTTGGAGTTTGACCTACTTTTGAAAACTTTAAGCTTGGCCATAACTTTTAAAAAGCTGCTGCTTAGGGTTTCAAACTTCACATGTGTATTTCTTGTGACAAGACCTTCCTCTGTATATCAATCTCTTTGACCCTTTGATCTTAACCTAGGAGTTTGACCTACTTTTGAAAAACTTTAACCTTAGCCATAACTTTTGAATGGTTGGAGCTAGGGCTTTCATACTTCATATATGTAATTGTTGTGACAAGACCTTTTTTTGAATACCAACCACTTTGACCTTGACTTAGGAGTTAGACCTACTTTAAAAACACTTTAACCTTGGCCATAACTTTTGAATGGTTGGTGCTAGGGCTTTCATACTTCACATATGTAATCGTTGTGACAAGACCTTTTTTTGGATACCAACCACTTTGACCTTTTGACCTTGACGTAGGAGTTTGACCTACATTTGAAAAACTTTAACCTTGACCATAACTTTTGAATGGTTGGTGCTAGGGCTTTCATACTTCACATATGTGAAGGTTATGTAAAGGTTAAAGTTTCTCAAATGCAAGTCAAAATCCAGGCCAAAAGATAAAAAATGTTCGTACCCAAAGAAAGGTCTTGTCTCGAGGAATATACCTGTGAAATTTGAAAGACCTAGCTGCAACTGTTCAAAAGTTATGGCGAAGGTTAAAGTTTTTTTAAAGTAAGTAAAACGTCAAGGTCAAGGTCAAAGTGGTTGGTATCCAAAGGAAGGTCTTGTCACAAAGATTACATATGTGAAGTATGAAAGCCCTAGCACAACCATTCAAAAGTTATGACCAAGGTTAAAGTTTTTCGAAAGTAGGTCAAACTCCTATGTCAAGGTCAAAGGGTCAAAGTGGTTGGTATCCAAAGGAAGGTGATGTCACAAGGATTACATATGTGAAGTATGAAAGCCTTTTTTTCAAAAGTAAGGTCTAACTCCTAGGTCAAGGTCAAAAGTTCAAAGTGGTTGGTATCCTAAAAAAGGTCTTGTCACAACAATTACATATTTGAAGTATGAAAGCCCTAGCTCCAACCATTCAAAAGTTATGGCTAAGGTTAAAGTTTTTCAAAAGTAGTTTAATCTCCTAAGTCAAGGTCAAAGGGTCAAAGAGGTTGATATCCAGAGGAAGGTCTTGTCACAAGGAATACACATGTGAAGTTTGAAACCCCAAGCACCAACTGTTCAGAAGTTATGTCCAAGGTTAAAGTCTCATAAAATTTTGCAAAAGTGGGTCAAACTCCAAGGTCAAAATTTAAAAGTCAAATATGATGATACCCAAAGAAAGGTCTTGTCACAAGGAATACATATGTGAAATATGAAAGTCATGGGTCCAACCAATCAAAAGTTGTGGGCAAGGTTAAAGTTGACAACAGACAGACAGACAAACAGACAAACGGACAAACAGACAGAGAGGACAAAAACAATATAACCCCGGGATCTTTCGATCCGGGGGCATAATAATGAAAATAAATACTAGTAAAGGTTACCTTGACAGTCACTATGAGTATATCATAACTTTTGTTAGGCAATAACCAAGTTATGTCTAACAGGGATGGAACTCTGAACTCATGTGACATGAATTTTACAATGTAATGATGATTCATATATATTCATTATTAATTGCATAAAGCTTACCTTCTACACGCTCATGAATAGAGAAAAATTCAAGATGTAATGCATTTTAACTAAAGGATCAAGATAGCTCCATCGTGGGAAGTTTGCTCTCCGGACTAAACTTTTACAATTTTGGTAAAGGGGTTCAAACACATGTAGCTTACCGTCATGAAGCATACAAGCATTGCTGAATTTAAGGAATAGATGTAAGATTTCAAAGGCAACTGTTCATTATAAACATACTGCCTGCGAGTAAAGAGGCTTACAATTTAGTTGTTATAATAAGGTATAATGCATTCTTACTAAGTCCCATCCTTGGACCTGAAATCTGGACACAGGGGCATGAATCTCACTAATAAACAAGATATCCATGCGCCACATCACTCACCTGAGCACATTGGCTAGGAAAAAAGCAGAAATCAGTTCAGTATTGAACAGGGAACAGGGGACTTAAATTTACACTACCTCAAGATGCTTCCGTATCAGTGTTACTAATTATGGCTTTGTTGTTCTTAAATATTTTATGTAAAACTTTGACCCACTGTTGTTTCCCCAGCCTTGGGGGTCCTAATTTGAACAAACTTGATTGGAAGGATTATTAAAACAGCCCTGACTGAGGGTACATCACACAGTACTTTAATTTTCTCTTGTCTAGATACGTGAACTAGGCAATTTTCTACTTGTACCGTGTTTCTCCACTATGTTTTTCTTCCATTGCTTCCCATTGATAGATAAGAATTGGATGTCTCAATCTTCTTCAGATTTACTACTACCAGAACTTAACATCAATTCCCTAGGATACTTGCCACTGGTGTTTATAATTCTTATACTTTCATTTTGATCTTACCTGTAACTTCTCTATTGTGATTCAATGTCCAATTTCGATTCTTCCGCTAGCTTCTGAATGCCTTACTTTCCCAAAGCTTTGCCTTATATATTTACCCTTTGGTTTGCCTATTTCATTCCAAGGGTTGTCAGGTCATTCCTATATTTGAGGTCTTCAATGCGTTTTACTCAAATACTCCTTAACAATTACACCTTCATTTCCCTATGTGTAACTTTGACCAATTGTTTTGGCCCCGTTCTACCCCCAGGGGTCATTATTTGAACAAACATGAATCTACAGTACCTGAGGATACTTCTGAATTAATATGACTTATAATTGCTCATCTGTTCTTGAGAAGATTTTTAAAGATATTTCCTATATATTTCTATGGTTAACTTTGACCCCCTGTTGTGGCCCTGCCCTACCCCAGGGATCATGATTGGAAAAAAACGTGAATCTACACTACCTGAGGATACTTCTTTTATAATATGACTAATCATGGCTTTGCTGTTCTCGACAAGAAGATTTTGAGAGATATTTCCTTCATACTCTTATGTAAAACTTCGATCCCCTCTTGTGGCTCCGCTTTACTGCCGGGTTTTAATTATAAGATATGAACAAACTTGAATCTAAAGTATGAAATGAAACGTTCACTGAATTTTCATTTTTTCTTTCCCAGTTGTTCTTGAGAAGGTTTTTGAAAGATGCCACAAAATTTTCACGAATTCTTATTTATCTCCCCTTGAAAGAGGGCGTGGCACTTCCTGTGAATAAATTTAGATTCCCTTTACTTAAGGGTGGTTTGTGGCAACTTTGATTAAAATTGGCCCAGTAGTTCTTGAGATGAAGTCGAAAATGTAAAAAGTTTACAGACGATGGACGACAGACTGACGCCAGACACTCTTTGATCAGAAAAGCTCACTTGAGCCTTCTGCTCAGGTAAGCTAAAATGACTTATTGTTCAGTATACTTGTGTAAATTGTCAATGAGTAAGGTATATGATTTTTGAACATTGTAACTTTTAAAAAATAATTTTGACCTGGTCAAAGATGAAACACCTTCTGTTTTGTTTTTCAACAAGTATCACCTTTTGGGATTTTTTAATTGGACGCATTGCTCTTGTCAACATAACCTACTAGAGTCTCCATTTGCGTTGATGGAAATGGTATCGAAAAAATCAAAAAGTGGTTTCACTTTTTATTTCAAGATAACACAAGAAAAAAGTAAACTAAACACACAAATAAAAAAGTTATTTACATTATACAAATGTATATACAAGAGAAATTTTAAATACAACAAGTTCCTACAGTAATATCAAGTGTATAATTTTAATAAAAATGTATATCAAATGATTAAATACAACCTTCGACTTTTTGTTATCATATACTGAAACTGAATAATAACACATTAATATTAATACTGATTAATACAACTTTAATTTGATTAACTGGAACAGACACCACAAAATGTAATATTTCTCACATTGTTAAGCTTACCGGTAATATCAAGAAATATAAGTGGACAAAGTCACTTTGGAATGTCTTCTATAATTTACAGGATCTTTACAAATAGAATCTTACCCTCGATCTGAATATAAAGCAGAATAAATCACACTACTCTTCTCTGACATCTTCTTTCTTCGTCTGCATTAACTATTTAAGCTGGGTATGTTTTAACTGTACCTTTAATAAAAGCTCTACAGATTGGACATTTGCGAATTGCAGGTGCGCAATGAGAACAGCAACACAAATGACCACATGGCAGAAAGGCAATTGCAACATCCTCTTCCATACAAATCTGAAAATGTTTTAAATATCAAACTAAAACTTAAAACCATTAATGATATAAAGTTACATAAAATATGGCATTTCTGAGAGTAAATAACGTTGTTTAAAAGGATCTTCATTTTGCTCCAGTTAAGTTGGGTGAACGGAACAAAATATGTGTGCAAGAAAAATTTATTTAACGTACCCTGCAAAGTCTCTGTTCTTTCAGCTTTCTATTTTCGTCCATCAAAGACCGTGTTTCATCTAAAAAACAAAATAATCCCATTGGCACAAGTCAGTTTCTTTCCATTTAATAAATTATCAGTTGTAAATATTAATCAAGTAATATTATTCACCAAATGCACTTTTTTATTTTATTTTAATGGCCAATTTCTTTCAAAAATTTACAATATGTCTTATATTCGGTATCACAAATATTTCTGCTATACGTTTCATTGAAGAATATATACCACTCATGCTCATGGCCCCAAATTCTTCAGATATCTCAGAGGTTGACAATGGATTGCTTGCTCTGCCTGTCACAAAGAATTATACACAATCTTCTAATTTTGATTTTCATTCATCAAAATATGAAGCTGAGAGAGAGAGAGAGAGAGAGAGAGAGAGAGAGAGAGAGAGAGAGAGAGAGAGATTTACTGGTAACATTTCCATTAGGTTCTGGTGTGGAAGCAGACGAAGAAGAACTTGTGGGCTGTTCTGGGGAAGAATTCGGTGCTGCTGAATCACTAGCCAGAATTTCCTCTATCAACTCTGCAGTAGTCACATCTGGAATATATTACACAATATATATATATATATATATATATATATATATATATATATATATATATATATATATATATATATATTAGAATGAATTACACAGTCTCTCTCTCTCTATCTATCTATCTAATAACACTGATTCCTTTAATAAGAAATTTCTTTTATTTATTACTCTGAGGGAATATTACAAAAGAAAGACATTATTGTGATATTCTAAGAAAAATAACTCTAAAATCACAAAAATACCCAATTATAAAATAACCTGTTTTTTTCTTGTTAAGTTTTCTATACGCCTCCTTAATAGTATTCCAAGTATAGCCCATTTGATAGATTTCATATGCTGCTGGAAGTTGCTCAATTTCCGTTAAGTTTCCAGTTTGCTCTTGAGAGGGGTTATTTTCAAAATCCTCTTCCTGGACGTTCTGTACTAGTCTTACAAAATCCTGTCCTTGATTTTGAATCAAGAAAGGACATTTTGGAAACCATCGAGCATGTTCTATCCAGGCGTCATCACCAGGCTCCCAATTCCTCAAGCCACCTAAAAAACAGACACAAAAGGGAGATAACTCTCTGGTGCTCTTCTAGAAATGAATAGAGAGCAAACATGTTTAAATAAATAAAACATAGAATATGATGAAAAAACTTTATATTTATAATTAGTATCATATGATCAGAAAAGATTACCTCCACAAAAGAAACAACGGACGTAGTCTCCATATCCAACATAAAAGAATCCTGCAAGACTAAGGTCCCTCGGTGTTTGTGTCAAATGTGACGGCCATTGCTGGTAACTGCTAACTCTGGTTGCCATTACAGCGTAGCTTGGATATCTTGGTCTATCAATGACAATTCCAAGAGGCTCTAAAGTTTCTTTCAAGCGATTGGGTTGTGAGTTAGACGGAGGTTGGCTATGATGATTTGTATGAGCATTACAACTATCATATTGTTGTCGTCGTGTTCCCCGTGATCTTTGCAGTGAACACTCAGCAGGTTCATTAGTAGTTATAGATGAGGTATTAAAATTATGTAAATTATTAGACTGCCAACTTTCTCTTGATCCAATTGGAACATTAGAATCGTTACTTCCACGCAGATGACGACAGTCTGGAGATAATTGTCTGTGTAACTCTGTAATATTTTGTCTTGTCCAATTAGAATTATGCACTCCACATGAAAAACAAACACATTCTTGGTTCCTTCCTGTAAAATAAAATCCAGAACGAGCTAGTCGGACGGGACTCTGTGATAAAGTCAGAGGAAATATGGAATAGGACCTCAATCGCAGCCATTCATAGCGCATCTCATTTACAACGTCTGCGTTTTGAAGTGAGGCAGTAAAATACGAGTTTAATGAATCTGCTTGTTCAGATAGCGGCAATGTTATCCAAAACGACAGGTCTGGATGACTCGAACTTTGAAAATAGATATCGCCAGCAATTAATAGAGGTATGCAAAGTACTTTGAGTTTTTGGGTTCCGAAAAATGTCTTTTTGATATAATTACAAAAGAACCCAACAATAAAAATAAGTAAAATCACAAGTTTCGAAACACCAATCATTTCGACTATTTACTCAGGTCGACAGTTTTTCCTTTTGCATAAGACCTCTAAAATTTTCAAGGAACTGTTTGGTTTGGTCTCTGTTCTTGTAATACGTTCAAAAAAGGCCATGCTGATCATCTCTGAGTCTGAAATATATTTGATAATGTATTAATTACAAACATTGTTATAACAGAAAGTAAGAAACTTGAATCATAAATATTATTTTTTTCCTAAAAAGCTTCTTAATGCAGTAAAAACATTTTTTTGGTTTTTTACTTAAAAGGTGCAAAAAGTCAATATATATAGCTTATCTTAACAGTTATAACACGTGCTTCCTACGTTATTTTAAAAGTTTCGCACAAAATAATTTATATTCGCGAAAATGCTGTTGTGTGATTATATAAATATATACCAATTCAGCAATCAAAGGTAGACAATAAAATCGAAATTAAACTACATCATGAAATAAGCCTTTAATCAGTTATATAATCTTTACGAGGCCAGGAATGTGAAAACCGCCTTACATGCTCCCCATTGTGAAAGAAGTCTTCAAAGACATTATAAGTACTTAAAAATAGACATTATGAAATTCCTTTGCGTAAGAAATATTTTAATCGTAATACGTAAGTTGAAAAGATATCAAAAAGGAAAAACAATAGTAGTATATGAGAGAGAATACAGATGACGAAATGAAATATATACTATGAATAGGTATTTCATCTTATCTTCTGTATTCTAGATAGATAGATAGATATTTAGATATATTTTAACGTATATTATTGACGTTGGTCACGTAGCATAAGAGCAAAAACACGTGTTTAACTGGAAAGCTTAATTAAAAGTTTATAAGACAAATGTTTTGTCACACATGTCGATAGAAATTTAATCTAATCATTACCCAAATAGTCCACCATATCTTTGAGGGTATTTCCAAGTTCATTAATAATCGAACTTAGCTCAATTGCGCAGTAGTTTGAAAAACTTGTCAAGTTTTGCATAACTAATGTCAGCTCAAAACGAAAAAAAATCCTGGGAAAAACTATGTTCGTTCATCCTAAACATTATGATGCTGTCTGTCCTCTTTGATATATCCCCCTGCTTTTTTCTTATTACTGTCATGTTGTACCTCTGACCAGTTTGTGTAATATGTATATAACAGCTGTATAAGCCTACATTTGTACATGTTATCAATATTGTACCCCATTCATAGATATTTTGGTCTGGGTGAATAACATGAACCAACATTTTTTCGACAGGTAGAAGAAAAGTTGTTTTTAAAAGGAGTACCTTTATATGTATGTTTTTTCAAATTTTGTCAATAATAAGTTCGATTGTAAATTGACAGGTTGAAAAGCATTAATAAATATTTTTGAATGTCGATGCTTGTCATAATCTATATAAATGAATCTAAATTGATGAAATTCTCAGTATAATTTAAAACAAAAATTGTAAACATGCCCCCCCCCCCCCTCCCCCCGGAAAAAGAAATGACCTGTTGTAACTTTCATAATTTCCGTCACTTATCCGCAGGTGAATATTGCTAACACAGACATGTGTCCGAGTCTTTTCTTTTGATGTCAGTGAAATAAAAAAATACTCACATTTATACAGTATTTCCATGCAGTCCTTTTGGTTCATGGATGTTTACATTACACAATGTTTATTTTGAAATGGTTTATTTACGTCGTATATACGGAAACCCATTTGGATCTCCATTTCATCTAATAAACAGCATTGCATTACTCAAACAAAAGATAAATTTTAAGGATCTGGTGTTTGTAAATTGCGAAAATCATCATATTTAAATGACTAAATATGATTTTAAAAAGCCCTTTAACACAATAACGATAAAATCTCAGCCTCGATGATGTACGTCTTAAAGGTCGATACGAAAAATAATTCTCGAAATAAATTATGGAAAATACTACCAAAGTATGTAACTATATTATAAAAATACGTATTGAAATTCATATCTCATATCATCACCTTTTTCAAATACAAACATTGAGAAGAATATTCATTTAATTTAGTTCATAACATGTATCGAATAAAATTTGAGAATAATGCATTGAAAGAAAATCTAGAAAATTTACTTCATTCAAAAAATCACTTCTGAAGTGATCAGAATTTACGTTCACCATGATTTGGTACACGTAATTTCAGGACACTGCATATTGATGTGAGATGTCCCATTTACAAATATTTCTATTAAGAAGTAAAGAAAAATAATGCAGACAGCTGTTACGTATTGTACCCGATGCGGCTTTTGCTATGTGGAAGTGTACATTAGAATATATTTAATTTTTTTTAATATTGTACAGTTATTGCTGGTTTTTGAGATCAATACGATGATTTTGATATCTGAGGAGTACAATATTCATGCACCTCGCCCTTAGGGCTTGGTGAATATTGTACTTCGAAGGTGGCTAAATTATCGTATTGACCGAAAAAAACAATAATTGTTTTATTATATGATTCAATAATTAAATGATACGAACTTATCAATCATTAAGCAGTTCATGCCATCTTACTTGTTTGTATTTACTGAAGTACTAGCCAGACATAATGAGAGAAACGAGGTTAGAAAGTTAACATGTAACCAGTTGTATATGTCGGAATTTAATTCAAATTCTAGTTTAGGTGCTATGTAGAAAAAATAAATGCCAGGCACTTATATAGGATTGATTTTGAAAAAAGAGGGCATTATAAGGAAAAAAAAATTACAACTAACCTGAAATTAAATCTTTGACTAGTCCCCCTCCCCCCCTCCAAAAAAAAAAAAAAAAAAAAAAAAAAGGAAAAAGGAAAATAATTCTCCCAAATCAAAATTTTATTTGATGGGATATAAAGGTCCATAAACAAGGGGAGGGGATTTCATTGAAAATTTTTATCCTTATTGATTTTATGTATTTTATTGTTTATTGTATTCATGACTATATGCCAATGTATGATGGTGTTGTCAATAAGTAAATTGAATTGAATAATAAATATCAAATTAAAACTTTACATTCTCAGAAGGTGGGGAGAGGGACAGGCCTCCTGCAACCCCCCCCCCCCACACACACACCCATATACACCTTCATCCAAAAATCTATTTGCCTAAATACAGTGTATTATGTTCATATGAGTGGAAGTCAGAAAGAAGACTCTTTTTGATAAAGCCAAGTTTTGAATTACTTGTATTTTGATTTTCATTCTCGGTTGTTAAGCTGAAATCGATTGTTGAATTAACAGATAAAAGACAAATGCGATTTCATTCATTACAATCAAAACAGTGATTTATCAAAGGGTCAAAATAATTTTTCATAGTTACACTACTTATAATGGGATAGTTATTCGTATGTTCGGCACACCTTTCATTACCACACAACACAACACAACACACAACAGTACCAACAAACTACTTTGTTACGATGTCGGCAGTTACGCGAGGAGTAGTGAAGTCGTTCTGAATAGTATCAATGTCGCGTAGATTAGCAACATTATTGCCCTCAGCCTGGATACAGGCCAGTAGGAAGCAATGTCAGTTTGAGGGGGAGGCACAACCATACATTTTCATTTGGGGGGGGGGGCACTATCAACTACCGAAAATTCCTTGACAAGCAAAAAAAAAAAAAAAAGAAAAAAAAAAAAAAAAAAGGTCATCAGACGTTTTAATTGAGGGAGGACAGGCATATAGTAGCTATGTTTTGTATAGTAATCTATATATTGGCAAAATTATTGAGGGGTGGCGTCACGTAAATGTGTAAGTGTAAATATCGGCTTTCCAACGTCATCAACATTTTATTTTCTTAGGGGACTGTGTGTGTTTTTTCGCACAAGACTGGCATCTACATCTGTTGATGTACTTCAAATTCTTTTGTCACTAATCGTTCACCGGCTATGTAATGGATAAATAACGAGATGATTCAACACTATCGAGTTATCTTACTTAAAAAAAACTTCTCCACTTTGGACTCCAAAGAAACATTTACATGTACCAATTCATATACATGTATTCAACTTTACTGTAATATAATGGAATCTAGCCCATTTAGACATCCAATAGTGACACTATAAAATAGCGTAATCGAACACCCTTTTTATATATGGACTAGAGAGTATGAAACTACATGGTGCTAATGTTATTTCAAACCTTTCCATTGTTTTGAATAGTCATGAAATCAGATGAAGAATAGTTTTAAATCCAAAGCAAATTTAGAGAGGTTCAGATAGTGTTTTGAATACTTTTGACCTAAAAGCAGAAAAAAAGTACAGAATGTTGTAAAACGTTTGGAAATCTATCATTACATATACTTGATAATGATTTGTTGAGGATAAGTGTTGAAATCTTATGGAGTGTCATTCGGACAATACTTCTAGCAGTGCTAAAACAGATGAAAATATTGTAGGTGTTATGCGGAACCTTCTTTAAAAATATTCCATATCAAGATCTGCAATAAAAAGGTGACAAAAATAGATGGGTTGTCAATTCATTAAATTGTTTTGGGAAGTACGCTGGAAAAGTATGAGAACAGGATGAACCTCGAAAAATCTGAGAGGATTTGCTGATAACGAACCCTTGAAATAATATTCAGCAACAGGAAGTGGTGTGGTTTAAGGTTCAAGGTGAAAATGTATTTATACGCGTGTCAAAAAGTGATGCTTCAAAATTTAAGACCTGAAACATTCCGTTAAAATACCATTGGATAAGTATTGGATATTTTATTGACGACAAGAGTCTAATAGTGTGCAAAATTCGGAGAAATTGTAATTTTTGTGAGCATTGGAAGAACATTTTAACATGATTCTAATGGTGTGAAAAATGCGAAGTGATTAATTCCGTGTGCATTGGACATAAATTCTAATAGTGTGACAAATTTAGAGTAATCATTTTTTTGTGCATTGGAAATACATTTTAAACTCTTTTATCTCTTTTGTTCATTGCTTAGTTATGTTTGTATGCACAGTTGGATATTTAAATATCCAACCAATCGGGATTTGGATATTTGAATATCCAACTGATGACCAATTGGTTCTTTAAATATCCAACTAGTGATGGCTTCGTCAGGATTTTAACTTCTTGGGTTAGCAATTTAACAGTCTCAGAAAAAAAACCTGTGTACTTTCTGGGCCATTACATTGTTACAACTTGTCTGTACATTTATTTTATATGGTCGCTTAGAGTTTCTCCGGATCGAAGTACAATTGGGGTATCGGCAAAAATTTTGCATTCTGTTAGAGAGTCAGATTGGTTCATATCAAGTTGACTCTTTACCTCGATTAGAAAGTTATTTCTATACCATTCAAATGCACCAGTTTCCTGAATGAGAACGGTATTTGTGCTTTCATAAATTGTAAAGTTACTGAAATATGGAGATAACTAACAGTGATCAAGCTCAAAAGTCCATCGAAACAATACAAAATGGTAGCAGAGCAAACACGGACCTCTAAACTCATCAGAGGTGGGATCGGGTGCCCTGGAAGAGTAAGCATCCCCTATCGACAGGTCACAACCACCGTGTGCTCCTTGTCATGATCGGGCAAAGGGAAAAATCCGTCGACAATTCAGTGCGTAATTATTGGCCTAACGATTTGTTCGAGAAAAAAAAAAACGTCAGTCACACTTGGATTTGTTGATGCAACCATTTCTCTTATTATTTCCATGTAATGAAGCAATTTTTGATGCACAGATGAAATAAATTCATACTTCTGGCATTCATATTTTATGGTCACACAGTCTGTGTTCAGCTATAAACCCGAGGAAAGTCTTGTATACTCACTGTGTCCAGTCCATAATTTGTAGCAATAAATGGTTGTGGTAGTCCACTAAATGAGTTTAGAATTGATTTAACAAAACTAAAATCAAGCTTCTTGGCATGGAATACTTCTGGATGTATTTATTTATAGTCACAAAAAAGGTTCTGAGTATGTGTTTGAGAAATGTTATAATATCCTATAATAAAATAAAGTAAATGAAAAAGATGAAATTTTTTTTTCCAAGTTTACGAATGCATTTATTTTATAAACCCAAGCACCAATTACAAAAAATTAATATTGATTATAATGTTTCATATAAACATATGGATAGTAGTTAGAAATTAATGAACAGAAAAACAAGTAAACTTTTAAATCAACGATGCTATATACAAAATAACTATTTTGTCATTTTTCCAAGAGTATATCTTCATGAACCATTGCTGTAATACTTTATGTCAGCACACGAAAGGCATCTAAAATGAACTTCTTTAAAAATCCATTTATAGTATTAATCATTCAAGCTGGATACGTCTTCACGGTGCCTTTGATGAACGCTCTGCACATTGGACATTTCCGCATAGCGGGTGAGCAGTGAGTACAACAACACAAATGACCACAGGGCAGAAAGGCAATTGCAACGTCCTCCTCCATGCAAATCTGAAAACATTTTGTAAAGTTCAGGAAGAATGTGAATGTTCTCAGTGGGTTTTAATTATATCAAATATTAATGTACTTCAAAGTTAACAGATAATTGTTGACAGATAAATATTTCATTAGTTAGACTTACTGGACACTAAAAACATTTGAACTCACCCTGCAAAGTCTTTGTTCTTTAAGTCTTCGATTTTCTTCAATCAAAGTCTGGGTGTCTTCTGAAAAGAATGATAAAAGAAAGGAAAATATATAATTCTACGCAAAGACGTTATATACAAAATTTTAA